GTGTGGACTCGGTAGCGTGGAGGACGGGTTGCCGGTTTCACCTCCTGTGCACTGCGAGGTGCGCCTTGAAGCAAGGCACCTAAGCCCCAACAAACTGCTCATGGGCGGCCGCGCCTGTTGCATGTCCACAAGTGTGTGTGTGTGTGTGTAAAAATAAAAAAGAGTTAAAAGAAGAATTTCCCCTAGGGGATCAATAAAGTATTTATCTTCATCTTCTTCTGGCTCTGTGTTCGGTAGTGCTAAAAAAGAATACTGTTAGTGTTTTAACAAGGTGGGAAGCCAGTGAGAGATCTATCCCTTATTGCTTCACTAGCACTAACGGGCAGTGGAGGGTGGATCTGTGGAGGGCAGTGTAACATCCATACGGGTTATACTCTCATGGTGAAGCTCTTCACTGTGCCATAAAATGAAGCGTGAATTAAAATAAGGGGGAATATTTACGATGAAAAGGCTGTTTTATCCACCTGGCAACATAGTGTAATTGCCAAAGGCAACTACAATATAAGATAGGGTCAAACATAGTTACTAAATTGATACATCTCCATTGGCCAAGCTGCTCATAGAGCGACTGTCTGTGCTTTTGCTGTTAATCTTGATTCACAATCAGGAGGATCAATAGATGAAATTAGAGGTGCCAGTCGTTAGCACCTTTATATATCAATAAATTATCATGACAAATCAATAAATTAATCACACACCTCTGGTTAAAGACTCAAACATACAGCGTGTTAGCAAGTCAACACTTACATGTTAACTAATCAATAAGAAAGTGGTCAGCCTGTCACACAAAACTATTAGTCAAAGGAAAATGCCACCCTGCATTGCTAACTAATGACATTCCCATCAGCCTCAGCTGTACTTAGGGTTTAGTGGTAATTAAGAAATGTAAGCATTATAAACTATGGTGACCATGGAAAACATTGTCATTAGCAGCATACTGACGCTAGCATTAAGCTCAAACAGCCCTTGTGCCTACAGCCTCATAGATCTACTAGCATGGCTGTAGACTCTTTGTCTTGTTAGGTTTTGTATTACTGTTATCATGATCACTGAGTCGTACAGTATTTCATGATCCCAACAAAACAGGCTCAGACTATTAATGTACTAATAAATGGAAGCCAATGGCTGCCTGCAAAAGTAGGAAAAAACATGCAAAAATCTAAAATACAAAAACATGGTTTTCAAATTGGTTAGCCATTATGCAAATTATATGTGTGATTTCTGGTGTAAGGGCTAAATCATGCAACATCCTATTATCCTTTCAATCTAGCAGTGGAAGAGTATCTGAGGATTTTCCATTAGTCATTAACCAGCCTCTGCGGTCCCGCTGCTACTCCATTTTCTTTCCTTTTCACTTCTTTGGATTGTCAGAACAATTTGAACTATCCACCATCTTGATATGAGACCTTACCTCTCAGTCCTGTTTGACTGAATGTTCACTCTCTTTTCCAACTCTCTCTGCTTTTTCAACCTGCGTCACTTTGCAGTCCCTAATATCTTCCATCTCCATCATATCATCCTTCTCTTGGCTCACCGTTGTCCTACCATCTGCTCCAGAAGTCGCTCCACATTGATTTTCAGGTTGTCCAACTTCTGAAACAGAAACCTGTCCACCCCGACCAACTGCTGGACTTATTCCTGCTTTTTCTGATTCAACACCAAGTTCAGAAGTCTCTACTTCCCTGTCTTTTACTGAAGTAGAGGACTCTTCCTCTTCCATCATAGTGACAACAGAAAATTCTCGCTTGCTGTCAGGGCTGGCTTTTATGATGGCCACACTACTTACTCTGCTCCCTATAGGTGAGGACGGGGACAGCGGACTGGAAGGGGACAGAGGCAAAGTACTCAGTCTGTCTTTAGAAAGCTGATCAATGGGAGAGAAAAGGGCAGAACCTTTAGACTCTCCCTGAACCGGTGAGAGTTTAGCTGTTTTGAGAATCCCAACCCTTTTTGTTTCTGTCTTTTCTTCAGTTTTTGGGACTCTGGCACCTTCTAGGTCTTGTTCCTTTAGAGATAATGGGCTTGAAACCATATCCCCTTTGGTTACACTTACTGACTTTAAAGTCAGGCGAGGTGAACTTCCAAAGGACGGGTTTTCGTCAGTTGGAGAAGAGAAGGGGGTTTGTGGTGATACTGACATGGAATCAAGTTTGGGGATAGCAGTAAGAGCGGGTGAGGGAGTTCGGGCTTGTAATGGACTAGCACTTTTTCCAAAGGATGAAGATAGAATAGGGGATTGGCTAGACATTGCTCGGCTTGACGGTAGTTTGGGGCTTGGAGTGAGGGCAGGAGAAAAATCAGTTCTAGCAGCCTCTGATGGCATGTTTCTTGAACTTAGTTTGGGGCTAGGTGTGACCACCAGGGGTGAGGTAGGAGTTTTTAACAAAGAAACTGAAGATGGGGTCTCTATTGAGACCGAAGATGGAGGGGATGAACCTAAGCTTATTAAAGCTAGGCTAGCACCAAAACCTGGTTCCAGATCTGGGCTGGAGCTTGGGTCGGGAGGAGTTTGGGTAACTGGAAAATCTGTGCTAGAATAGGGTTCAGGTTGACCAGTAGGAATGACAGGAGTAAAACCTGGTATTGAACCATGCATGGGGACGATAGGTGTAGAAGTCTGTAGCGGCCCGGGATCATAAGCCTCGTTATTTTTTAGCACCTTATCTTCCACATCTGCTGGTTTCTCTGTTGTCTGTCCAGAAAAAGCAGGAATTGGAATGGGAAGAGAGCTGGCGGCAGAAGCTGCTGTACTCCCAATAGAAGGTTTGATCATAAGGTTTGTACGAAGTTCAGGACTCGGCCCATGTTTCGAGCCATTCTCAGGAGCATAGCCTGAGTCATAGGCCTGATTCTTACTTTGGAAAGAGAGAGAGTTAACAGAACCTGAAGTTTTAGCCTTTAGTTGAGGTGAAGCAGAACTCTTTGAGGGCTTGCTTTCAGATTTGATACCAGGTTTAGTACCACTTTCAGGGTCGACATCAGTGCTCTCTGACTGCAGTTCCTCTAGCACGACAGGTTGTGGCTGAATAGCAAATCTAATACCTCCAGTTTCCCTACCTGTCCCCTCCCCTACTTTAATGCCAACGGGGTCGCTGCCCCGCCTCAGCCCGAATATGGTTAGACTCTTCCTTCGTTTTCCCACATTCGGAGCAACCCCATTAGAGTTCTCGGAAGGTGGATGGACATCCTTAAACATGCTTCTCAGATTGTACCCGCCCTCCTTCCGCTCCTCGCTGTCCTGGGATTGGTCCAGCTGGTCCCCTGAACTGACCAATGGATTAGGACCTCCATGGAGCTTCTTGTCAGTATGTATCACCCGGAACCTGAATGGATAATGATACATGTAGGATGAAATATTTTGACCACTATATCACAGCATATAATCTGGACAAGTGGCTTAATCATGTGTTGTTACCTGCCAACAGAGAAGACAGTCTGCTCTCCAGGGCGTTGTTTGGAGCGGGGGGTTCGGCTTTGTCGTCTGCCCTTTTTAGACCGGACCTGAGCACAGAGGTGGCAGGAGTTGTGGTCGGTGCCTGAGTGGACTGTGTGGTGATGGGGAGGAATACCACCAATGGACTCTTTACGCAACCTGAATATCAAAATGACATTATTATTTTCATCAATATATATATATATATTATATGTGATGTGAGCAGTCTAAAGCTGGAATTATGCTTCTCCTGGCTGCACGTAAGCAAACGTTTGGGTTTGACACGTTCGCATTTGTGTTTTTTTTCCACCTGCACAGATTAGACATATGTGTCTAAGCATCTACATGTTTAGCAAACCACAATGTAAAAAGGACGTAGAGGAAATCAGGAAACAGAAATCAGTTTCACCCCAGTGACAGTGTATTCCCTATATCTGTGAAACAAACCTGAAAGAGTTCAGATTTATCAACGCAAATGGTGGGCAATGTTGAAGAAGTGCCTTGAAGAGGAATTTCTTTTCCCCCGATTGCTTGACGTGCAGGTCCATGCTATGTATTGTTGAGATTTTGGAGGTGTGCCCATAACACCTGCACACTGGAGGTTTGCAAAGGTACATTGACAACATAATTTTGGCAATGTTAATTTAAATAATTCCGTTTGGTTGTTCAAACTATTTAGAGTAGTAACAGTGAGGCAAAATCACTAACAATTTAACAGTTTAAAATTCAAATTGTTCACCTTTGTCACCATTTGGAACCATTGTCCTTTTCTTCTCTATTTCTGTCTATAGTCGTAACAAATGTCCCATGTAAGATTTGAATAACGCTGAGATCTCCATCTATATAAGGTACCATCATCAGTAATTGGGGGCCACTGGTGTACAACTACCCATGCAGCAGTCACTTTTAGTAGGCAGCAGCACAGGCAATACAACTTTAATCAAGATTAAAAATAAAAATGTTTCCTTGTTGTGAATATACATGCAGTCAACAGACACTAATACAGACTCTGTTAGATGCTCTCACCTGGGGTCATGGCGCACACAGACATTGTGGTTTCCCAACAGCTCATTGAAGGCTTCCATGTTAGCTGGAAGTGACAACAAGAAGAAACCATATCAATGCATGGCTATGGATATGTCACTTTGTATTTTCTGGCATCAAAATGATCAAATATCATATTGTTAAACATCACATTAACAGGTCTTATTCATAAATGCACCCATCATGTGTGATGTATTGTGTAGAAGGCAGTGAAGAAATTCTTATATTTGTCACCTTCATTTTCAATAATACATTTGAGGATCTGCTCCACCGTGTCCTGGTTCTCTTCATCCTCATCTGAAACACAGCAGAACAACAAACAGATAAACAATGACCACATCCAAACTGTCTCTCAGTTAGGCATGGGATGATATGTACATTTCATGTCATAATTATTATTATTATTTCGTTGGGGTACTTGGGGCTTGTTGGGGTATTTGTTTTGGGTGTTTGTTTGGATATTTTTGGTTGTGATGCTGATCTCATGGTGTGTGGTTTGGTCATGATGTGTGGCCATCATGGGTATTTGTGTGCTTATGTATGGCCTGTGTTGTGTGTTTTATGTATTAGAATAAAATAAATTAATGAATTAATGGTCTGGAAAGACATGCTGCAATTTTTTTAACATCATTTTACAATGCTGTAAGTATTAAAAATTCACAGGCTGTTATGTTACAAAAGGTCCCCAAACTGGTGAGGAGTACTTGGTAACAGTCTCAATCCAGCAGCAGAGGTGTCCACTTTGAGTATATCATTTGTTGAGATGGATACAGTTTTTTTCAAATAGTTTTTATGCTTGATGGTGGAGGCCATCTATTGCTTCTACTTCTTGTGCTGTGAGTCTCTGTGTGTGTTTATAAGTGTGTGAATGTCCATACGTGTGCACAGTTTTATGTATCAAAGTGAGTGGATGTTTGAATAACTTTGTGTGTGAGAGTACTTGTGATACAGACTTCAAAGAAGATCACATGGGTTTGTGAGTGTTTGTGTATTTCTGTAGGAGTGTTGTAGTGTACGGGGGAGAGAGAAGGGGATGGAAATATCCTCTTTCGGCCTTATCACAATTATTACCACTAACATCTCAACTGTTGTTGTTATATAACTTTTATATTTTACCAAACGTTCAAGCAACACACAAATTATGCAGTTTATAACCGAAGCATTAGATAATATGTCAGCGTTGTGTTTACAGCTTGTTTCACTGCCCCCAAGTGGCCAAAAAATCTATTAAGGTAATGTTAATTTCCTCCTTTAATTATCCATTTTACTCACACACTGAGCTAATGTAAAGGCTTGAAAAAATGTATATGGGCTATAAATAACATGCAGCTGAACAGATTATTAACACTAAGATGATCAGAATAAAAAAACATTTTTCACTAACAGTCTTTCCTCTCTATTGTAGGGAAATATAGAAAAGAGTCTCTCTCTTTCTCTGTCTACCTTTCAGGATCACTTTCCGAGCAGATACGGTGAATAAGGTCATTGAAATGGGTAATTCATTTAGCAAATTAGTAATGCACACCAATTCATTTTGGAGTAATCACAAGAGACAGATAAAAACATTGTCAAAATCAATGCAGCAGAGGCTGAGAAATGGGTCTCTTTTCAAAAATGGCTGGACCCTACATTAACTGTAATGCAAAAAAATGCAATCTTTTGTAGAACCCTCCCTGCCAGGTAATTGTCCGTACCTTTCAAACTCCACACACCCAGTTTGATATGCAGACATTACAGCTCCTCCAGAGCCCAGAAAACATTATATAATTGTTTTCACAGGCTGAATAGTACCCAACACTGGTAAACTGATCTTTATATGTGACCTCCTTATTTATTGTACTTTTTTTCTCAACCCACCGTCTGCATTTCCTCCAAGTTTTTCAACATCCTCCTCGTCATCGTCCATGTCTCCGGTGCGGCAGCGGTAGCCCTTCTTCTTCAGCAGGTGGCAGATGAGGAAGCCAAACAGTCCGGTGAGGAAGAAGAGGAAGACCACCACAAAGATCATGTAGGTTGGGGTATGTTCCACCACCCCTGAAGCCTCTAATTCAGTCATAATGTAGGTTCAACCTGAGTCATGGAGAAAGAGATTAGACTAAATCATTTTGTGTACCTTCAGCATTTTAAGTTACAACTAATGATGAAGTGAGACTGTTTTACTTGGTCCTTTAAGAGACTCTGATCTGTTCAATAGATGTATAAACTTGGAAATTAGAGTCAAAAAACATATATTTGTGTAACTGTCTTGTAACTGTTTCATCTATTTCTGTTAAATACTGCTATGTTTTGCTCTCATTAAAAAAAGGTGAGAATGACAGCCTTTGACATTATATAGCAGCACATATTACAGACAAATTCTAATTAATAAAATACCGAAAATGGGAATGTGGTGTAAGAACTAGATAAAAACTATATTGATGGAGTAATAATTAATGATGCTGTTGTCTTTGCAGTTGAGCTGTGAAGGTTTCAGAAAGTGTGAGGACAATAGACTTTACAAGAATTCTTAGGATTAAAATCGCCTTATTGTAGTTGCTTAAACACTTTAACATTTCCCACCCTAAACCTTCAGCGAGAGAGACAGAAATATAGAGTAAGTAAAATAAAAACATACAGGCTTTCCGGTTGGTTCAAATCATCTTCAGGCCTTCTGTTGCAGACTGGTCAACATCAAGAGTCAGTCTGTGAAGGGCAGAGAAAGGGAGGAAGAGATCCCAATCAGATTAACACAATCTCCCTTATAAATCAATATAAATTAACTTAATGAGCTGAATTAATTAACTGCATTTGAACATTTTCCATGTAATAAGTAGCAATCCTTTTTTAGCTTTTTTGAAGGCAGCCATTTGGAGTTGTTATCCCAAGAAAAGCACAGGTGTGATTAATACCATTAATGCTACCCAGTAAACCATGCCAGTGAAGCAGCATGCAGCCATTATCGAAGGTCCAGTATGTAGAATTTAGTGGCATCTAGAGGTGTAATTGCATCCCTCGCTCACCCTCCCCTTCGCAACACCAACAGGAATAAACTTCCAAGTGGCCATTGAACAAATGCAAATCCCCTATCTAGAACCAGTGTTGGTTTGTCCAGGGACTGTAAAAAAAATGGGGACTCTACGGAGAGACCCCTGCGTCGTAGACTATAAAAGGCTACATACTGTTCCTCTATGAATTCCACACCTAATGAAAACACATTTATGTCCCTCCGAACACTGATAATCTTGTTAAAGCTGCTGCAGCTCAACTACGACAACATTAGATCTAGCCCCTCATAAAAGGAAATCATTAAACATGAACTAGCACCGGGTATCAACACCAAACTCGCCAATTAAACAGAAACTTGAACAGGAAATGCGCCTTGAAATTATTAGAATAACGCTCAAATTTGCAAGGACTTCATGCACGCTCTTCTATAATAAAATATTCATATTACGAGAAGAAATTTGTCACCCAATGGCCTCCAACTACGTAACACTGCTCTCCAAGTTAAGAACTTAAACTAATGTAAACTCAGATATATTATTTCGAATTTAGAACATATAACAAATTAACTTCAATAATTCTTCCGCAAAGCCATCACCCTGTCTATTAGACCCAAACCCAACTAGGCTCCGCTAAAGAAGTGTACCCTTAAATGCACTTCTTACTGACGATATCCATATTAATCTTTCGTTATTATCAGGATATACACAGCCTTAAAAGAAGCTGTAATAACCCTTCTAAAAAGCCCACTCTTGACCCAGGGCATAGCAACATTGAGCCAATTTCTAACCTCCCCTGTCCTCTCTAAGATATCTGAGAAAGTAGTTCCAAACCAGTGTGTGACTTTCTACATAACAATCCCAGTTATTATGAGATTTTCAGTCAGGATTAGAGTTCATCCAGCACAGGACAGCTCTGTTAAAGTTAAGTAATGACCTTTTAATTCTTCCACCTGGAATTGAGTACTCTGTCCTCTGTAATTGTATTTAGACCTTAGTGCTGCATTTGACACCACTGACCATCAAAAATAATTCTTTACAGAGACTTGACATCAACGGCATCTAAAGAACCGCACTAAGCTGATTTAACGGTCTATTTACAGATCAGTCACAAGTTTGTAACATGTTACACGATATCTTCAATAAAACTACAAGTTAGTCATGATTCCACAAGGTCTGTATCGGCACCAAACTATTTTACTTTATAACGCCCTCTTAGGCAACATTACTCCAGGAATCACTCCATTAACCCTTTAATTGTTATGCGACATGATACCAGTTATACTATCATCAAGCCAAATGAAATTAATCGATTATCTAAATAAAAACATGTCCTCACAGACATAAAAAATCTGGATGAGCGCAATCTCGATGGTAAAACCTCAGAAAAAGACGAATTCTGTACTTGGCCCAAACTTAGAGACTCCACTTCTAAAAGATATAGCTAACTCTAGATGGCATCTACCCTTGGCCTCAGTGCAACTGTTATGAAACTTCGAGTATCCTTGATCAGATTTGTCATTAATCCCACAATAAAGCAAGACCTCTCAGGACGCCTTCTTCATTACGAAATATGAAAAAAATCAGACCATCTAATCACAGACAGATGTAAAAAACAAATCCACGCATTTGTTACTCTCTAGCTGGATTACTGCCTCTTTATATCCAGGTTGCCCTCTAATCAGCAGTCCTTTAAGAACTCCATTAATTAAAACGCCTCAGCACGAGTACATGACAGAACTAGAAAGAGATCACATCCTCCTGTACAGCTTCTCATGCAATTCGCCCCTGTACAATAGAATAGAATAAAATCCTCCTCCTCCATATAAGAAGCCTATGGCAGCCCCCTTCATCATCTGAAAGAAGCTCATAGTACAATATTACCCCTCTAGAACACTACGTTCTTAATGAAAAAGGTGACTTTGGTTCCTATAGTCTATAAAAGTACGAACAGCAGCCCAAGCTTCAGTAATCACCAAGTTCCTCTCTTGTGAACCAGCTTCCAGTGTGGTCTCTGAGGCAACACCCTCTCCACAATTTAACGAAGTAGGCCTTTGATAAAGCTTATAGGCTCAAAAGCTCAGCTTTTGGTGAACTCAGATCTGCAAATTTATACCGCTTGACCAATGGCAGGTCGTCTTGACAGAGCTAACCTTTGAAAGAGCTGAAGAGCCCGACAAGAGGAAACTACTGTAGCTTGTTAGATTTGTTGCACTGTTCACTTTTATTGAACCTCCTCTGACTGAATACACACTGCTCCACAAAAGAGAAACTGTAGAGAATTACAAGGCAAGACTGCTACTTTTAATTACGGAATTATAGATTAGCTACATTTGCATACTAAAATAATAATGGTTTTTGGTTGTTATTTGTTTACATCAATGTGAAAGAAAGCATTTGCTCTGTAATGGTTATGGCAAAGTAAAATATTAGCATTGTGACATTTGGTAGCATTATTATTATTAATGGTAATAAATGTTAGCAGACATTTATGAGAGCCAACAAATATTAGCATTGTAGGGTAAAATAAAATATTAGGCTGCTTTAAATGCAACAGGTTTGTTGAAACATTGAACTTCCCGAAGCTCTGCTAACTAGCTTGTGTTCAAAAGATGAAAAAGCCCCATCAAGGTGAACTATATAGCTAAAAGTCAGTGGACACCTGCCTGTCACATCTATATGAGCTTGTTAAATACCCAATTCTAAAACCAATGCGCACTAACATGGAGTTGGACCCCCCTTTGAAGCTAAAACAGCCGCCACTCTTCTGCGAAGGCTTTCCAAAAGATTTTTTAATATGTCTGGGGGAATTTGCACCCATTCAGCCAAAACAAGATCATGGACTAATGGTCAGGGCTTTGTGCAGGCCAGTTGAGTTCCTCCACACTAAACTCATCTAACCATGCCAACATGGACCTCTCTTTATGCACAGGGCCTTCACAAAACTGTTGGCACAGTTGGAAGCGCCTAATTGGCTAAAATGTCTTTGTATCGTGTAGAAGAAGACCCTTCACTGGAACTAAGGGACCTAGCCCAAACCCTGAAAAACAGTCCTACTTTGTGTGCTGATGTTGCTTCCAGTGGTAGAGGCAGATATGGGCCATTTTTATGGAAACCCCAAAACTCCCAGATTCATTGGGTGGCGTTTTAACTTTAAGTGCACATTTGTTTGGGAACATACACTATACTCAAGAACATTATTAAGACAAGACCAACTTCATGGTTCTGTGTCAAAATATCATTTCAAGACCATAATTAAAGGTCGAATATACAGTAATATTCATAGATATGTTTTCATTGGTATAATCACCTGAAAATCAGAAACAGAAATACTTAATTGATCCCCGGGGGAGAAATTTGTTAAATAAATAAGAATTGTTGTGTTTTTGTTGCCTTAGAATGAGCTTTGTATCTACAGAGGGAGCGCGTCGCCTTCTATGGAGTCCACCATGGAATCTGCCATGTTTCTACGGTAGCCCAGAATGGACAAATCAAACACTGGCTGCAGATAGGCCCCTTCACTTTTTTCTCGAGTTTAGCGGCCGCCATTGTTTTTCCTACACACATCACAGCCCGTTCTTATTCCCAGGTTGTCAAATACTGGCGCAAGCAGTGTTCAGATAGTTGCAATTTGAAACTTCCCGATGCCTCTAAATCCTACACACTGGTCCTTTCAATGGTGCATATTCCTAAATAAATGTGTTAAATTACAACTAACTTATTTGACAAACAGCAAACCTGTCTTCAAGTACTGCTCCAGCACATGAGTACTGGCTGATATCTGGACATAATACTGTAAGCTGACATGTATAGTCACTATTAAATATAAGCACTTGCATATGACAGAGTACATAACTTGCCCACAACCAATTGTTGACATAAGAAGCCCTAGTGGTTAATTCTACCATGTACAACTGATGGTCCACCACATACTGATTAAAGCATGTTTACAGGGGGGCGGTGTCTCATAAAGTAATACAGCTAGATGCCTATTTAAACTAATATTTTCTTACTTATTATTATCACTTACTTATTTACTACTTTACTTAAAACATCATATTAGTTATTTATAGACTTACACATTATACAATGCATTTTCGCAATGTTTCTATCTGAATCTGTAGACTCTACTAAAACTTATTTATTACACATATTTTATTCAAATATTCAACTATTTTTATGAATTGAAGTGTGTGTTTTCCAAGAGATTTGAAGAATTTCAGTTTTAGGGTCAAATTACACAGTGCTCTACAACAAATAGTGCCTCATTATACACATAGCTGAGGTCCTTCTGCGCATTTTGTTATCAAACACATGGGTATATCATATTATGCAAGTCCCTTTAAAGATAATTTTAAGAAGAAACATCAAAATCCCCGTTAGACCCCACAGGGTTAAACAACAAAATTGAAAGCGACTATAGCTCAACAAAAAGCAAACAGAGGAACAGAAACTAACCAAAACTTTGTCTAGTATCTGCAGATACCACACCATGACATTAAGACACAACCATTACAAATCTGCAGACATCTGAACTGTATTTGAGCTTTAATGTCTTATTTTTTATTCTTCTTCTTTTTGCAATGGTCATGCATTTTCATATACATATACCTGTATCTTATTGTGATGTACTTACTGTAGAGACTGCTTTAATGTGCCATTCGTGCAACTTTGCCCAAGCTATAACCTCTCCTACAAATT